CATAATATGATTGTTCTGGCTTACGGCCCATTGTTTGGGGTGGGGAGGGACCTGAGGGAGTAACTTTCTTCTCCAGGCCTGTTGCCACTAGTCATGTGGTTTTCTTTTCAGGAATTTCCCCAGAATGAGGACCATCTTATCACATTGGCTCCCTCCTCAGCCTTGGAATCACTTTATCTCTCTTGGGGAGGAAATTTGAAAGTAGTTGGTCTACAGCAGAGCAGAGTAGCATGGACTTCTGGGAGGGAAGAGGAGAAATCAAGACTAAATTTGGGAATGCATGAGTCTTCCTTCTCAATAATCCTACAGGCCAGCTTCCATGCATAAGAAGTGGGGCCTGGATTGGATTCCCACAGGAGGGCTGCATGTTTTGTTGGACAGTGATGATGAATTAGGCCAAGGCACCTCCTTCCCTTGAGAGTTGCAAGGTCAGGATCTCAGAGAAACCTGAGACAGCAGAACTTGGTGGTTATAAACACAATCTCTGAAGCCAGACTGCCTGGGTCCAAATCTTGTCCCTAACACTTGCTAGCTGTGTGATCTAAGCAGCTCACTTAACCTTTATGTGCCTCCATTTCCTCTTTTGCAAGGAATGTGAATGATTATAGTAACTATCTCATAGATTTGTTATGAGGATTAAGATGCATAATAAATGCACTTAATTCTAGTAAAGCACTAGAACAAGGTCTAACAAACGTAAGTATATTTCTGTTTGTTCAATAAAATACGTAAAAGAGTAGGTTGAGAAGGTGGTCAATTTAGTAAAAAGTATTTATTGAATATCTACTATATTCCAGGTACTGTGTTGTCCGAGGTTTAGTGTGGGAGAGCCTGACTTTGGAAGCAGGCAAACTTGAACTCTAATTCTAGCTCTGCCATTGCCTCTAAGCTTGGTGACCTGGGAGGATGGTACTTAACCTCCCTGAGCCTCTGTGTTTTCGTGTGTAAAATGGGGATAATAACAGAAAGGAATCTTACACAGGTTGTTGTTAAGAGAACATGAGACAGTGCCTGTAGATCTGACACATAGAGAGGAGCTCAGTAGGTGCTAGTACATAACTTCCATAAGCTGGGATCTGTAAAATTAAACCCAACAAAAATAAATGTCAAGTCTATATTTTAGTTAAAAACCCAATTTCAAAATAACATATCACTTGCATAAGCAAAGGACAAGAAAGGATTGAATTGGCAAGAGCTTGTGTGAAAAAGAGCTGTGGATTTTAGTTGACCACAAGTTTTCTGTGAGCCAAAAGTGTGATCTGGCTGCCCAAGGGCTAATGTAATTTTAGATGGCATTAATAGAAACGGTGAGTTGAGATTCCAGCCAGTGATGGTTCCCTGTCCTCTGTACTCTGTGCTAGCCAGATTGCTGCAGATGTACAGGACTTTATCCTACTTACAATATTCCTGGATGGACAATGACAAGCTCTTTGACAGACTGTCCAGAAGTAGTGACCTGGGTTGGGGGGAATTGGCAAGCTCTTTCTTGAGGATGAGATAAAAATAATCTGGGGAGGGAAACACTAAGGCAGTATTTAAAACAGTTCTTTCTTCTAGTGAAAATGTTTACAGAACACACCCCACATCCAATCTGTCAGCAAATTCTGTTGGCTCTTTCCTCAAATTATATCAATATTCTGACCATTTCTCATTGCCTCTTCTGCTACCATCCTGACCTAAGCCAGCCTGTTTTGCCAGAATTATTACAATAGTCTCCCAGCAGATCTCTCTGCTGCCACTCTGGCCCCCTCTGTCTGCTCTCCAAACAGAAGGCTGGAGGGCCCTATTTAAATATATCTCCAGTGGCTTCCTATTTCATTCAGAGCATAAATCAAAGTCCTTATAAAGACCTACAAGGGTTTTCTAGGCCTGGTTCCTATTATCTCTGTGACTTCAACTCTTACTCTCTTCCTTGCTTACTACCCTTCAGCCACACACTCTTTTACTCAAATTCCTCAAACCAGCCAGGCATTCTCCTGTCTTAGGGCTTTTGCATCTGCTGTTTCCTGTGACCTAGATATTTGCACATCTTGCCCCTTCACGTCGTTCCAATTGTAATTCAAACATTACCTTATCAATGAGGTCTTCTTTGCCACTCATTTTAAATTGTCACAATCTCCCCCACAAAACACATCTCTGTATGTCATTCTCTGCTTCATTTTTCATTACAGCATTTATCATCATCTAATATTCCATATACTTTATTACTGACTATATTAAAGGTTTGTTTTATACATTAGAAAGGCAGGGATTATTGTTTGTCTTTGTCACTACTGTATCCAATGCCCACAACAATGTTTGGCATACAGACCTCAGCCAATAAATATTTGTAGAATAAACAGATATATAAAATATACCAAAGAGCTGCTCTGTTTAAATCTGGCAGGGATAGGGTAGGCATTCACTCTATCATCTCTGGAACCTGAATAATTGAGAGTTAAGTACATGAACACATTTGCACATGAATGCTAGCCAAACTCTAGAAGTACCACTGAGTGAGTGCTACAGGATATGGGAAGACAACTTCCATTTTCCAAACTTTGGAGGACTATTATGTATAAGAAGTAGACTTCATCGGGGTTTCAACTTGAGTCAGAACTAGAGCTAGTGAGTATGAAGGGAATACACACAGGTACATACGGAATCAGGAGAATGATTTGAGATTTTCAGGTTGTCTGATGAAGTGGTGAGCTCTCTATCTTTGGAGGTGTACAAGAAGAAGCTGTATGTCTCTCTGTCAGTCTTGCTATAAAAAAAGATTCTGAACTGGCTGGAGGATTGATTGATCCTTACCACCTTGACAGTCTCTGTAGCTCTGAAATGCTAGAGCCAAAAGTATGTGAGCCCAAGGAAGTGGGGTCATATCTGTTTGTTTTTTACAACTTGGAAGAGGTCTTTGGCCTTTCTTCCTGGAGTCCCAGAGACAAATTCTCTTCTCAAAAGTTCGTTCCATCCTAATTGCGATTCCATTTCCCAGAAATTACCTGATGCTGGGCTGATGATTAGTGGCCAGCCAGCGGTAAAGGGACTGATTCCTATGGCAACCAGGTTGAAAAAATTTACCTTGTGGAGAATTGTCAGCCATGAGCTATGTTTGCATTATAAATAGATATTTAATTCAGTGAGGTAGTTTGTGGTGACTTCTGCATTATAAATAGGTACTTAATTTATATAGATAGCTCTGATAGCGAGCAGGAAAGTTAAACTCCAAAGCCATTCTTTGTCTTTAAGTACTTCAGAGTCAATTGACAACTATTTTTTTCCTTCGAAAACATGTATAACTTGGCTCTCTAAGTGAAAGAACAATATATGTGTTTGTAGAAAGCTAACTAACAGTCCAGTATCACAATATTTCTCACTATTTGTTTCACACTGTAAGATTTTTCAGAATTTTCCGAGTGCAAGAGTATCTCTGTTTGAATCCTTTTGACACAGGAGACCCCAGGTTCAATGTCTCGATTTCACATGAGTCATTTCCTGTCACGTTTGTCTCATCGTCGCCCTGCTTTCCTAACTCAGAGTCATCTCAATATTTCAGTCCTTGGCCCTCTGGTCTTATCTTCCCATTTCTCTTTCCCTTGGTGAAAGCTAAAGCAATCAAGTTATCTCTTGCTAACTTACACAGCTGTGCTGCTAGCCTTGACAATATACACTTTGGAACACCCAAAGATTGGAAAACAGAATCAGACCTGATCAAATGACTTTTATCCAAAACTGAGGACCAACTCTTTCCAGTGTTCAAAATGTACTGCTTGATTGAGGGCTAGGGATGGAGAGTTTGAGGGGAAAAAAGTGGTGTTCAGCAGCAAGCAGCAATTAGTTTTGGCAAAACTCAAATGTAAAAGCACTTTTGGAATGCAATTTTTATAAATACTATAATAAATTAGTATAAGTGACTAATAGAATCTCATCAAATGGAAATCAGAGTGGGACTTTGTACTTCTACATTCCGAAGAGCTTGATACAAATTAGTCTATAATACTTAGAGAGTTTCATTCTGTAAGGATTAAGGGAAATGGGATGCATTTTTTTTTCACTAACTTGCTAGATAAATATGCTTCCTAATGCAAGCATATAGAGGAGTTTCTTTCTAAACTTTATTATAACCAGGGTTAAATAACTCACTAGATGCTGTACCCTTGTACATTGCTCTATTGAACAGTGTTAGCTTAGAATTAAACAGTGTTGGGTGGCAAGTTTAAGTTCTTTAGGTTCAGATGTGAAGGGGTGATGACCCCTCTCAGACCTGTAGGTCACCTCTTCTGAGGTCTTTAACAAGGCTCGAGGAACTAGATAAGCCTCCCTCCCCAATCCAAACAGCCTAATGGCCTAGTGTGTACTGAATTCCCAGTCATGGGGCAAGTGGCCTTCTAATCTAGGGGCAAAGGTCAGGGGCTGAAAATGGGAGCTAGTCCCCATTTCCGGAGGTGACCTTGGCAGTTCTCCTGCTCCAAACCATTCACCTCATCTGCTTACTGTTCTTGAGATCCCATCATTAGACGCACATTCCTTTGGGAAAACGGGACTCTCTTTAGGGAGCGGCAAAATATCAGATTTGAGTAATTGTTCATACTTAAGAATGAATTCATTTACACCCCATGATTGCTAAGTAAGGACCACAAAGCATGTTTTTCCAGTTTCAAAGTTCTGCGGAGGGCCAATCCTGCTGTTTGAAAGCAGATGTACTACGGACCCAAAGGTAACATGGTGAAATGCATGTAATGTTGGTGTTTTTCCTCCTCAGGCTCATCGTGGAGAGGGTACTGCCATTCATTCATTCATTCATTGATGGAAGGGCAAAAGGATACTCTGGTCAGTGACTATGTGTCAAACCAAACTGGGAAGTAGCTACTTTGGAGCCCCCTCCCTCACCCCCTATTTTGAACAACTTTCTCTTTTCTCATAGCCCTGTACTCTCTTTTTCTGCCAACGAGGTCAGCTCCAATACACCATTTCTAAATTGTTAGTGGAAAACAGACCAATAGAAGACCACAGCCATGGTTTTTGCAGTTAAATAGTGAATACTCTTTTTATTCAGAAGAATGCATTTTTAATAGAATTTCATGCGCCAGTAAATCAGTACAGTGAGGAGTTACAGGGGTGGGGACCCTGTCTTCAGAAAACATCTCACACTGGCAGAGCTCTCAACTCCCAGAATCCCCTTTACCCAGCTCAGGTGATTAGAGACCAAGGAACAGCAGATGGGGCTGACTTGCAGGGTAACTAGTTGGATTTATAGGTCTCTGAGAGCAAGAGAGAGGAGAGGAAAGTTCTTGTAAAGGAAGAGATTATTATATTGGAACTGGCAGTTCCACAGAGATTCTCTGAGAGCTTGAGGAACCAGAGTTGGTGGGGGTGCCTGGTTCTCCTTCTTCTTGGTTACACTCTTCGAGGGCAATGGTCTGGTCTCTTCCATCTGTCTCTGAGCCTCTATGTAAAGAAAAAGACATGAATAAGGGAGGACTGAGAACCTGAAAACAGATTGCATGGTGGGGCTCAAATACCAGGGGAGCATTTGTTTGATTGTTTTTCTAGCACCACTGGGTTCACAGAAGGGGTCATGATGAGGCATTTATTTACCTGGTTCGCAGTCGAGGCCACTTCTTCCACTCTATGGCTAGCACTACCCCCAAGGCTACAACAACCACCACGATCAGGGTACTTCGGACAATGTTCCCCACAGTGCACTCCTGAGCAAGAGGCCCTGTGGTGATGAAAGAGGAGAAACCAAGGCCATGGAGATGAGTGTGTGTATGTTCTCCTTGATCTCTGGTATTGCCCCACACTCTGGCCTTCTTTAGGATTCACGTGGGAGCCATTCACGTGGGTGGGCTGTGGCAGAGTTTATGCTGAGGCAGAAGCAGCTCTCCTTTCCTTGGAGGAAAGAGGCCTGGGAAGAATCCCACTCACTATCTTCGAATACATTTGAGGTCCCACCTCCTCACCATCCTTAGGAGAAAGATGACACACTTCAGGTCCCCAGCTCCAGAGCCCCTCCATTCTCCTGATTTGGGATGTCTCCATGGGGACTGTGCCTCGGATCCCATGTGTGTCACATCAGGACCATGGAGAGATTATTCTCTTACCTGCTGCCCCCACCAGCTCCAGGGGATCACTAGGCTCTGACCAGATATCAGGGTAGGCCTGGAGGCGGTAGCTGCAGCTGTAGTTTCCAATGCCTTTTCCTTCTACATTGTTGATGACAAAGTCTCCATCCTCTGAAAACTGCTGAGGTGCTTCTTCTCCATCATGTTCTAAGACAAATTCAACACCTGGCAGGGGTCCTCGGCACTGAAGGATGATGTCCTTCCCTAGCTTGAACATGGTGCTGGGCCAGGCTGACAGAGAGGGTTTAGGGGGCTTATCTGCAGCCAATAAGGACACAAAGTTAGAATAAATGACCCCGAACTTAGCCCTTTACCCCCTTATTGCTAACTGCTAAAAACTACAAAATCGTGACTCATAGTGAAGTCTCCAGGACCTTACCAGTCACCCAGATCTCCAGGGAGTCACTGTGATATGAAGCTGCAAAGGGAGCAGAGTCCAAATAATAAACACAGCTGTAGATCCCAGAATCTTCACCTCTCACTGCTGACATCCGGAAGTCAGCCCTGTACCCACTTGGCTTCTGTTGCTCTAAGGGCTCCTGAGTCCCCTTCTTCAACAGGACAAATGTTGAGTCTGGCAGTTCCCCTTGACATTGAAGAGTCATATTTTCTCCAGGGGCCACCATGGGACCAGGCTGGGCTAATAGGCTGGGTTTGGGGAGTAAACCTGGAAGAAATGAACTCCTGGTCAAAGAGAAGAGACCGCTTTGCCGTGCATCACCCCGGGGACTCTGCTCAATAAACAGAAAAGACAATTGGTTGCCTCTCCTTGAGCTCTCTGGAAACGATTTCCCATGAGGCAGTCTATTCCCTGCTTTCTACACTTTCATGCCCGCTCGAGAGTCTCTTCCCCTTACCTGTGACTATGAGTTCCAGGGTGTTGCTAGGTTGTATCTTAATAGAACTGGTCCAGTCAGGGTGGTAGCAGCAGCTGTACCGCCCCATGCTAGCAGCAGATATGTTGGTGATGGGGAACACCCCATCATTACTGGTCGATCCCCAGAGCTGCATTGAAGTGGCTCCTCCTTCTTTGTGCAGAATGTATCCTACTCCATGGACTGGCCCTTGGCACCAGAGAGTAACATTCTGCCCCATGGGAACCACAGAACTGGGTTCAGCAAACAACCATGGCTTAGGGAATGTGTCTAGAAAGAGACCAACGTTGTAAAGTGGTGAGTATTAAAATTTCCCAGTTCCTGCTTAAATTAACCCTTTATCTTTCTCCTCTTGCCCCTCTGAGGCCTAGCCTAGCCTTCCAGGAGGAATTACCCTCCCTAATCCCTACTCCAATGATTTCCATCCCAGTCCCATGTCCAGTCTGTCCTTACCAGTCACCCAGATCATAAGGGGCATACTGAGATATGACCCCCTGTTTGACATGGTTGTCTCATAGTAGATACAGGTATAGTTCCCAGAGTCCTCTGCTCCAACAGTGTGGAGAAGGAAGTCAGCTGAGTTCCCTGAGGCACTCCGGAACTGTAAGGGAACCTGGGCTCCCTCCTGCAAGAGGGCAAACCTCATGCCCTGGAAATTTCCTTGGCAGCGCAGGGTCACATTCTTCCCAGGAAACACCACAGGACCTGGCTGTGCCAGGAGAGTGGGTTTGGGGTAGAATTCTGAAATTAAAGAGACCACAGCATGAGAGAAACCCAGCCCTCATATCCTGCAAATTGCTTTTTAAAGTGTTATTGTAAGACACAATATACGTTTGTTGTCAAAAATTAGAAAATATAGAAAAAAAAAACAATGAAGGAAACACAATTCTACCACTCAAAGATAAGTATTTTTAATATTTCTTTGCCAGTTACTCTTTCTATACATTCCCGTGTCCATATAGCTATAACTTTACATAATTGGGACTCCGCTGTATGCACAGGTGTGTAGTTTGACATTTTTCACTAAGCTTTATATGTAAGCATTTTCCTGTAATGTTAAACAGCTTGAAAACAGGCATTTTTAATGGCTGCATAGTATGCAGCTGACATTTCAAGGTCTTTTCCCTTTCTCTGAGAGCCATCCAGCCCACTGATCTCTGACGGTGCAGCTTACAGAAAAAGTGGACATTGAGCCTAAAGCTCAAGGCCAAGCTGCAAAACAGTACAGAAATAGTGCAACTTGAACAGAGCTCTTGGGATTGGACATCCCCATCTGCGTCATTGATTTCCCCAGAATTGCATTGCTTGCCCTCCAACCTCGTTTGTTTCTTGTTCCCGTAATAATAACATGAGCAGCTGTGTGTCATTGACTGGTCACTATGGCCCAGCCACTGTCCTAAGCACTTTCTTGGCATGTTTTAGAAGAAACATTTCTTTCTCTCCCACTGACAGCCTTCCACCCACGGTCCCCGGGTTGGCACTACCTCTACCTGGAGCCCCCCACTCCTAACCTGTCACCACGAGCTCCACAGGGTCGCTGGGCTCAGACCAGATAGAAAAGTCATAATATCGGCAGCTGTAATTCCCTCCATCACCAATGCCCACCGAAAGGATTAGAAAGTGAGCTGCACTGGCCCCCGGACTTGCCCAGGACCTGTCACTGGACGCTATTTCACTTCCATCTTTGTAAAGAATAAAGCTCATATGCTGGTGGGGGGTGGAGCAATTGAAAGTCACTCGGGCACCAGGGGTGACCACAGGGCTGGCCCATGTCTTGAAGAAGGGCTTAGAGTACATTTCTAGAAGGCAAAACAAAAAAAACAAAAAACAAAATACAACACAAAACCAAATTAAGATCAAGAAAGAGAGGAAAGCAAATATAGCAAATCTTGGTTCTAGGAAGCTTCTCTGCTTTCTGTAGTATTTCATTCAGAAGTGCAGTTCAAAAGTAAGGCAAATCCACTTTGCAGATGGACTTCTTACACAGGGACCCTTGAACCCCACCCCTCACTACCTCCAGATGAGTCCTCCGTGTCATCAGGGCAGGCAATGGAGGCTAGTGAAAAGATAGAATTATGGGGGCTCTGCTGATTCTCTGAGCCTCAGTTTGCCCATTTGGAAAAGGGGAAAATGGTACCTACTTCACCCCCATTGAAGAGTAGCTCTGTGGTGAAGTGAGATAATTGATGTGAAAATAATTAGAAAAATTAAATCACCCTCCACAAACCCGAGCTATTAATAACGATTATGGCTATTAATATCGTGCAGCCAGAGGCCCTGGCACTCCCAGAGCCACGCCTGCCTGGCTCTAAGATTGGACACAGGCTCCCAGGACCAGCAGCAAAGTTTGCTGCAGGGAGAGGAGTGTCTGCTCCAGGGCTTTGCCTCTCCCTCCACCCGCCCCCCCTTCCTCACATACCCTTTTCAGCTCTACCTTTTATGACAAGCTCTAGGGGCTCACTGGGCTCAGACCACTTGAAGGGGCGCTTTTCAGTGTGAGTGCGGCAGCTGTAATTGCCTTCGTCTTTATCCCCCATTCTTTTTATTGTAAAGAAGGCTTCTCTTCCAACAGCACCAAGTTGCTGGACAGGTTCTTTCTTTCCCTCCTTATACAGAGCAAACCCCATGCCTGCCAGCCACCCTTTGCACCGGATTTGTAGTTCCTTGCCCCGGACTGGGGGGGAAGCAGAAATGACAGGTTTGGGGAGGATGTCTGGAAAACAGAATGGGATGAAAAAGGAGTTAGAGGTTTGCAGTTGCCCAGACGGCATACTCGGGGTCACTCTCAGCAAATAAAGACATTTATTCTGGGCTGGCCCTAGGCTCTTCCAGTCAGTCTCTTCACAGTCTCCTTCCCATCCTGCCCCTCCCCCTACCCCCTAACCCTCCTACCCTTTCAGTGCCCCTTCTCTCCTACGTGCAGCACAAGCCCGTTTGGTTTCAGGGTCCCTGTGAATTCATTCCCTCACCGCCAGAAGCAGTGTGGGAGTCCCAGGGGCACTGGGGATAACTACCGGAGGACCCTCTGCCTTTTCTTACCTGTCCCCACCAGCTCAAGTGCCTCACTAGGCTCCGATACAGCCATCTCCTCCCATGAATGGCAGTGGTAGCTCCCGACATGGCTCTGGGTCAGGGCGCCAAGGGGGAAGGCAGCCCGGACCTGCGCCGTGGCCGGGCGAGTTGCGATCCACCCGGTCCCATCCTTTAGCAACACAAACTCCTTAGTTGAGCCCGTAGGGCTTCTGCACCAGAGGGTTAAGTTCTTCCACGGGGCCAGAGGAAAGTTCGTCTCTGCCCACAGCTCAGGCTTAGGGGTTGGCATGACTATTTCTAGAAACAGCAGAATTAATGAAGCCATCCTCCCTCCTCCCTCCTCCTCCCTCCTCCTTGCCCTTGAACCCCCTACCCAGATCATACTGCCCACCTACCCTGCATCCCAAATCCAAACCCTTTCCTTCTTTCCTTCCTTCCTCAGGTGCTGGGGAAAGGGGAAGCTAATGTCTTATAGCTGAGCTTCAGAATAGTGCAGAAGCTTGGAGGAAATTTTGTAGGCAGAAAGGCAAAGTTGGAGGCTGAATTTTGCCAGCAGCTTTAGCAAGTGCCCCTTCCTGGCTGTCCTTCCCTCCCAACCAGTCACTCCCTGGCCAATGACACTGACACTCTGTAGTTATTTCGGATCTCCAGGGAGGAATGTCCCAGTCTGGAGCAGGAAAAACTCACCAGTCTCTTCTGTCAATACCCCATTGCACAGTCCTGCAAAAGAAATTGCTGCCAGGGCTTGGCCCCCTCCCCCACGGCACTTCACCCCGGCCTTCTGCCCAGGCCCCTTCCCCCACTTGTACTCACCACAGCAGAGAAGGGCCGTGACTATGAAGAGCATGGTGACCCCTTGAGCTGTTCCCAGCAACCAGGCTTCTCTAACAAGACCAGAAAAGAGATGAGAGGAGTTGCTGGGATTAGGGGGAGGGTGGACGGAAGGGGGCGGCAATTTATGTCATTGGCTTGCTCGCTACCCAATGGGGACTGGATATGGCCAGGATAATGGGATATAATCTTTTCTGACATCGATGACTTTTCTTTTTGAGGGCCTTACTACCTACAAACCTCTTACTCTGTCATGGCCCATGTGCCCCCCCGCCCCTTCCCCACTCCCCAGCCTATATCGTATGTCAGATCCCCGTGGCCCCTGATTAGGCTGTTGCTGGAATTGAGATGTCAGATGTGAAAATGTCCTTGTATTATCTGGAGCTCTCAGAACCCCTGGAGCTCAGTGTGATCGGCAGCTCTGGGTCGTGGGTGTGGGGGTGGAGGGAGAAACCGTGAGTGTTTCTCAGACATCAAGTTTAAGTTTGGAAGCAGTTGTTATGGCAGTATTGGTCCTCAGACAGACCCACCTGCCTCACCTGCCTTTGTTATGGAAGGGTTGCCTAGGCAGCTGTGATGAATTACTAGAAGATTGTCAGTGCTGAGCTAAGCTTTTTCAGGAGTAGAAACTCTCTCCCCTCACCCAGATTATAACTAGAAATGTGCAGCAGCTTTAGGTTATGGGCCCTGTAGAATTAAATGATATTAACCGAAAATCCATTTGACAATTTTTACTTAGAAAACACTGACCATCCTTCCTGGTCAAGAAAACATGATTTTCAAGCTGCTTTCTCCTAAATCTGATTTCTGATCTTGTTCTTTGACGCAGTGTTGCTGGGCTGGGGTGGGGCAGCCTACATTTTTTTTTTTTTTTTCTCATCGCTGGCTTGGGAATTACTCTAATGGGTACGGGACCCAGGTCAGGTTCCAGAAAGAAGAGCTTGACCCCCACTGAAACTTTTTGAAAACTAAAAGAGTGGTGGTTTTTGCAGAAGGCTTACGTGGCTCCTTTCTGGTTGCCCAAGCATTCTGTCACTCATATTCCAGTGGAAAACACAGACACACATAATCATAATCCATTGTGCATTGAATACTCCCAGACAAGCTGTAACCACAGTTGTGGGGGCGGGGGTGGGTGCAGCCAGAAGCAGGGAGTAGGGGGAAGTAGACAGGAGCTAACACCCCCACTAGGTCAGAAGTGGTCATTTCTCTCCTTGTTCCCAGCACAGTAGCCTGAGCACAAGCCATGGGGATGAGAGAGGCAGATGGACCAGAGGACGCCATAGAATCAAAGGAAATGGCAGGAGAATCTGTTTGGTGTGAGTCTGTGAGTCAGAGGAAACAGCCTGATTCTGTTGCCTCATTCAATGTCACATCAAATGCCCATCCAGGTCAAGTTTATATTCCCAGAATGCTCTGCACAGGTGGTTGGAGGCCACAGTGTCAGAGACTGGTTACTAAGCCAACTAGGATGGAACACAAGGCTTAATAGCTCTTGAGGGCTAGGGATAGGGTGAAAAGTTGGGATAGGGTTGGATAACAGCCTGGGAGACAGGACAGCATGGCTTCTTACAAGAGGAAAAATCCAGAACAAGTTAATGAGGGAGACATCAATCATCTCTGAGGGGGAGGATGGACTGTGAGGGAGATTTGGGCACCCTCCCAGGGGGATGTCAGTGAATGCAGTTCTGATTGTTCCTCCTGCCTCTGAGAACTATGCATTTCTTCACCCTCTGGCTTGAGTGTTAACCCCTCTGTGAGGTGAAAGAGACAGCTGGGATGAGAAAGTCTTGTTCCCTAAGCCCAGAATATGGGAGTCCTATAGAGTGTGCCCTGTGGTTTGTCTCAAATGGGGCATGACTCATTCTTCAGACTCTGTTAGGTTGGGGAACAGGGGGCTGGGACAAGACAGTTACCTGATTCTGAGTCGCCGACACTTCCACCTTATCCACAGCACAACCAACAGCAAGGCAACAAGCTGCATGATTAGGGACAACCTAATAGCTTCATTCAGAACGTAATTCCAGGTGAGATAGCCTGTGACCAGAGAAGACCAGAATCAGAGGCTTTGATGGGTACAGGGGGCAGGTGAATACATTCATGGGTTGAGAACGATCTGGTTACTGAGAGTGCTTATATTGGGAAGGTGAGGCAGAAGTGGCCTTCCTTTTCTCAGAGAATGGGGGCCTTGAAAGTATCCTGCTAACTGCCTTTGAGGAATTATGAGACCACCCCAGGGGAAGGGTGCTGAAACCCAAGGGCTCTGATTTTCAGGTCCCTGACTCCCCTTTCCACATCCTTCTGGGCACTGATCTTGGATCCCTGGGGTATGGAGGGGCATTTTTCTGAAGAGTTATCCTCTCACCTGCTGGCCCCATCAGCTTTAGGGGCTCACTGCGATGTGACCAGATGTTAGGCTGTGTCTCTATGCGATAGCTGCAACTGTAGGTCCCTGTGCCTTTCCCGTCCACGTTGCTGATGATGAAGTCTCCATCCTCCGAGAATTTTTGGAATGTTTCTCTTTCTTCCCATTCCAGAGAAAATTCCAGTACTGGATGAGAAACTCGGCACTGAAGGGTGATGGCCTTCCCTAGCTTGAACACAGTGCTTGGCCAAGCTGACAGGGAGGGTTTAGGGGGCTTATCTGAAACCAATCCAGAGACCAGAGTGAGAAGTAACCTCACACCCAGTACCCCCTCCCCCAGAAAATGTTTTTGAACTCCCCATTTGCTCTTCTCTTCCTTTCCACTTCCACTTGGTCAGTGGCTTCAAGATTTGACTGTGCATTGGAATTTTTTTGCCTACCTTTTGATGCTCTAGAGATTCTTGATTCCCTACCTTCAATCAGGAAGAACTCATACCTGTAAGCTTCTCCTGGCCTAAACAAAAATAATTTTCCAAGGGGTTACAATGGGGCTGTTCCATACTGAGAGGTGGAGGGGGAGACAAGCTTCCTAAAGTTTTTGAAGAAAGTTCTACACCACCTTCCGTGTGTGTGTGTGCACGCGCGCGCACATGCGTGTGCACGTATGCATTTTGCTCATAACTCTCAGAGGATAGAAGGCCACTAGTTCCTTCTTACAGCACCACAGTGATGATAAAAACAAACAAGTTGATAACAAAAAGAGTTGTTAACACTTGCCTACAACCATAAGCTCCACGGTGTTGTGTGATGGCATCCTAATGGAGGTCTTCCAGGTGAGAAGATAGTGGCAGCTATAGATGCCAGTATCACTGTAGGTTACATTGTTGAGGATGAATGATGTGTTGTCATCGATGCTGGTGGCATCCAAAAACTGAAGTGGTTTGTCTTCTCCTTTCTTATAGAGTGCAAGACCCACTCCATCCACTGGTCCTCGACACCGTAGGCTCACATTCTGACCCATTTGGACCACAGGACTGGGCCGAGCAAGTAGCCAGGTCTTGGGGAAAGTGTCTAGAACAAGACCCAGAATATAAAGCACTAATGATTTCCCTTCCTGCTCCCACTCCTTAAGATTCGTTTCCTCCTCTTCCTCCAGCCCACCCTTGGAAAAACCTTCCTACACCCAGTTTTACAAATTTTGTTCCCTTCTCTACTGTTAGCCCTGGCCACATGATTAGGTTCTCCAGGAGCACAGAGGGAGATTCATATCCTTAGCCTTTAACCTAAGATCCGTGGCATACCCCTCTCTTACCAGTTACCCATATTTTCAGGACATCACTAAGGAGTGAACCTCTGTATGACCCATCATAGTAAAAACAGAGGTAATGTCCAGTGTCTTGGATCTTCAAAGACCGAAAGAAGAAATATGCCTCATTTTTTATTGTCTTCTTGTGGTAAAAGGACTTCTCCAAGTCTTCAACCCTCATTACAGCAAAGGTCATTCCATAGATTGGCCCTTGGCACCTGAGATTCAGGCTTTCTCCAGGTGCCATGATGGGCCCGGGATGAGCTGTCAAAGTTGGTTTGGGGTAGAGTCCTACAAAGGGAAGAGACCCTGAAGTTAGAGGCAGGATAATTCTTTCCTATTGTCTTCTGTTTTCCTTTCTTAATTTCTTTAAAGAAGAAGTGGTAGCTGAAGTTTACCTTCTCTTCCCTCTCCCTTCCTTGGATCTCTGCCTCTATAACATAATCAAGGGTAGATTCACTTATGCCCCTTTTCTCTCTCAAGAATCTATCAGCTTCACTGAGTTCTAACCACATATGTGGGTGTATCTCAGTGGAAGATCTACATCCATAATTCCTTGTATCTTTAGGTCTCTGAAATGCCAGATGTAGTTCTTTCAACCACCAGAAAAACAAACCTCTGAAAAATGACATTGATTTCATCTTTGCAGAGCATGAATGCCACTGAAGTATTAAGGAGAGCACTTGAATACATTAAACTCATTAAAGACAGCACTTCCACAACAAGACTAAAAGAAGCTAATAAGGAGGGTTTGGCCAGTAAATCTGCAACCCAAAGAAATCTCTGTTACAGGGCCACACATTCCTTTCCATGGACTGTTTCTCCAAGGAGATTGTACACAAAAGTGAGGGCAAACCTGACCTCCTACCACTCCTTCCTACCCCTACCCCAATGCCAGGCACAGTTATCTATTCATTATGGAAGGATCAGCTCTGTCATATGCTCACTGAGCATTTAGTATGCATCAAGCATCATAAAGGCCTAGGCGTATATGAGTAAAGAAGACAGTCTCCGCTAGCAAAAAGCTCATGAACTGGTGGGGGATACTGGTGAACAGTTAACTACGGAAGTGTGTGTTAGTGGAATCTATGCTGAAAGGGCATGAGTACAGCAAACATTCATACACTCAGTTCAAACAGGCAGTTTTTTGTTCTTTGATCCTCAATAAAAAGCTATACTAACAAAATCAATATCTACCATTTATTGAGAACTTATATGCCAGGCACTGTACATATATATTTAGGCAAATCCTCACAACAACCCTGTGAGGTAGGCATTATTATGATACCAATTTTGCAGATCAGGAAACTGAGGCACAGAGAGAAGCATTACACAGTAGATCAGATAGATGCTGTTATCCCATTTTTAGAGTAGAGGAAGCCAAAGCACAGAAAAGTGAAGTGACTTGCTCAAGATCACACAGGGAGGCAGTGTCAGAGAAGGAACTAGAAACCAGGATTACTGCTTCTAAGTCTAGGGTACTTTCTGTAACACCACAGCTTTTCCGAAGCATATTTAGCTGAATGGAGAGACTAAAGAAAATGTGGCCAATTCCATCTAGAAACCTCCAGGCCATGGAGTGGGGGAGTTGGGGGTGGGGCATTTCTGGCATTTTACATTTTGGGGAACCCTCTTCTACATTTAGAGATTGGCGCCGCCTTCCTAGCTCTACTTATAGGTAACCAAGGTGATTTATAAAGCCATTTCTAAAATATGAGCTATCAAATTATTTGTCATTTGTTTTGTTTTTCCTCACCACCACTAGCAATCCATTCTGTTTTCCACACATAAAAATAACAATTACAAGTCAAATACATTTGTAAATTTAAAACTCCATTTATAAGACTGCAGTGGCAGTGCCTGGCACATATTAGGTGCTCAATAAATACCGGTTGAATTAATGAATGAATGCATGATATTCAACAAGTAGAGAACAACAAAGCTGTGATGAGCTGAAGCTGCTGGCCAGTTGGCTGGGCTCCTTCACTAGCCAAATGATTGGCTCCCATACATCTGCCTTGCAGCATGTGTGATTCTAATTTATATCTCGGTAAAATGCCAAAAGACTCTAGCTCATGGGGCCTTACAGGGCCTGGAAACTGGCTGAGGAAAGTAAAAGCAGAAACTCTAGCTCAACCAGCCATGATCCCTGGGACAACAATTGCCAGACGCCAGCAGCCATGGCCACACCCACCTGCTACAACCAGCTTCAGGGGGTTGCTGGGCTCTGACCACAGGGTGGGGAGCATCTGGATATGAGTGCGGCAGATGTAAACCCCTTCATCCTCAGGTGTCAGGTTGTCAATGGAGAATATGGCCATTGTCCCAGTTGGGACTTGGTAATCCACGGGCTCTGCATATCCCTCTTTAAACAGCATAAATACCAAATCCTGCAGCCAGCCATGGCAGAGGATGTTAACATTACATCCAGGAAGAGGAGGGGTTTCGGCTTGGATCCAGAAGATGGGCTTGGGCAGCTGGCCTGGAAGGACAGAACGAACTGGAATTAGGTAAAGCAAGGATAATACTGTCTAGGGAGCAGCAGAGGAGAGCTCTACCTTAATTGAGGCTTCCCTGTTTGATCCTTGTTTGTCACCCCTCCTTCCCCCTTCTCTGCTCCAGAGTCTGCATCCTCCCTCTACATTGCCCAATACAGAGCAGGACCTTACTTACTAACTGTGGGAGGCGTGCTTGCATGCATTTGAGAAACAAACCCTGCCCCGTAAGGCAAGTCTGAATCTCAGGAGCTGAAGTTGATTCTTGAGTATCTCTGTCTTCTTACCTGGTGACTCCAACTCTAGAATTTTACTGGGCTTTGACCAGCCTGTCTCTTTCCAGTAGCAGCACCGGTAAAGACCTGCATTGGATTCAGTAAGGGCACCTAAAAGGAATGAAACTTGGAAGGTCTTGTGGGAAGGGTGGATCCAGGTCATCTGTGTCTTATCCTTCAGCAGCAGGAACTTGCTCGATAGCCGAGAGGGGCTTCGACACCAAAGCGTGATGTTCTCCCAAGGGGCCTGGGGGTAGTTGGACTCTATCCACAGCTCAGGTTGAGGATCCATCACTGTCATTCCCGAAGATCAAAAAGATGTGAGCAGTCCAGCCCTCTCCCTCCCATAACATGTCCCACAATGGCCCTTAAAATTAGCCGAGACCCAGATCCCTCATTTTGTCTTCCCTTGGGGACAGGAGTGGGCTCGTGTGGGGCATCGTATAGGAATCCCAAAATATTTGGTCAAGGGGTTCAAATGAGTTGGGGAATAAAGTCTGGTGGTTTCTTTTTCATCTGAGATAAAGCTTTTCACCATGTCATAGGAAACCAAGTCCTCTGATTCCCAATCAGCTCAATCTATCTCTGGAATCTCAGGGTATTACGTCCGGGGTCATGGAGACATGCCAGCATCTAGGATCCTTTAGGAAGGAGGTGCCTGAGAGGGCAGAACTCACTTACCTATGGATGTCATACCCAGACTCATCCCTGAAAAGAAAGATTATGGTAAAGGAGGGCTCCCTTGTTGTCTCTGTCCTGCACTCAAACCTCAGTTCTTTCCTCTCCCACCCCTATTAGTGGGTACCTGTGACAGGGTCACTTGCCCCTCACCCCTTCCTTGTACTCACGAATGCAAAAGAGCAAGATAGTGAATGTCTGCAGCATGGTGGCTCCCTCCCCTGGTCTGTCCAGGGTCACGGGGCCTCTGGTGCTGGCTGTGCACTCTGAGTCTTGAAGAATTTTTCTCCTCAGCAGGTGGTGGGATCTAAAAGCACAATTGTTTTTACTCATAGGACTTGTCCTGCCCCTTAAAGTTTAGTTTAGATGGCTAAATTGCACTTGACAACCCTACAGTGTACTCCCTCACAGGCATGCAGAGTATTACAAGGTCACCTGCGGCTTCTTCTCCTTGCTCCTTTCCCTCACTTCCCCATCCTCCCACTCAAGGTCTTTGTTGGTATCGAAGATGTCAGATTTGTTGAAATATGGATTTGTCTCTGGCATCTCAGAGGCCCGGAATAGCCTGCAGAAGCTCCACAGGATGGGGGAGATGGGAGGCACAGAGTCACCTTTTCAGAGATCCTTTTACATATATGTATATTGAGTCCTCCAACAACTTAGGAGAGGAGGCATTACTACCATTCCCATTTTACTGATGAACAAATTGAGGCTTAGAGAGGGTATTTAATTAGTGCAAAGTCAAAAGTGATTAAATATTAGAGCCCAAATTAAAATCCATGTTTAACTCCATGGCCTATGATCTAAAACAACAATTTAAGCTCCCAGAGGCACTCTTCACTCCCTCTTCACCTTCCCTCACTCCTCTCAGTTGATCCCTTGGATATCCTTCCCTTCTGTAGAATGCTTTAGATCCAATGTTACTCTCATTCTTGTCTCCTACCTCTAAAAGCTCCATACCCCAGTGTCAAGCATGTGTTAGAAAACCAAGCTGCTTAAGTTAATTTACATAAAGTGTAAATGATTCTTTGGTTGCCCTTAACTTCTAAACAGTTTTGTTGATTGCCTCTAAGGGAAATGAAATTGTTTGAAATTCAGGAAATACTGCAAAGGTATTTGAGTTCAGGGAGGCTTTCCATTCTCCCGGAGCAAAGTCATTATTTACAATAGGCCTTGCAGATACATAAGGTAGACTCTTGAGCTTCATGCCTCTCTCCACCTCCCCCCACAGTAACCTTTCACCAAGGAAAGGTTTGTCCCAGTCACACAAACTCAAGCTAATTCTCTTCCACCAACTCGCTACTGGGAGTCTGAAGTCCTGGCTGACTCCAGCTGTTATTAAATCTTAGCTCAGAAAAGTGAAGAAGAGGCAGCTCCCAGAATAGAGAAAGGGCCTGATTTTGCTTTTCCATACTGACCTCAGCCTCCACCTTGCCCCAGTGCTAACACTTGGTAAAATGGAGGAGCAGGAAGAGGAGGGTGTTTCGTGTTCAAAATATCTGGGCTGTAGGTAACAAGTGGACAGTGAGAAATTCAAGGAAGCCTAGGTCCATTGCTCACTTTTCACTTTGTATCGAGGGTTTTTCAGATTACCCACTCTGAATTTTCCTTATCTGTAAAGTGGGGGAGTAATATCGACCTAACATTATTGTTGTATTGGGTTAGAGATAATACATGTACAGTGCCAGGCATATAGTGAACATTACATTTTAAAAAGGTGCTTGGTTTTTCTTCTTTTCAAAGGGGGCATTAAACTGGTGTTGGACCCTAAAGATGCCCTTTCCATCTCAGTTCCTAAGGTCCCTTGCTCCCATTCCTCTCGGGGCCAGGACAAAGCTTGGATGCCGCCCTGTTGCTTTGTTACCCTGGGGCTTTGGGCCAGGAGTTTTTTGGGGAAGCTAGGTTCCACTGCCAAGGAAGAGGTTCAACCTGGGATTACACCCAGGTGCCATCTGAGGTGTCAAGCCTTGCCACTTGGACCCCTAAACCAGGTTCTTTGCCTACTGGGAGATTGAGAAGAGTCAGGGAAGCTGGGCTTTTGGGCAAGGCTGATCCCTCCTCAATCACTAAGGAAACTGTACCATTTATATTCAGCCCAAATGATGAATCTTATATCGGGGGAACGTGAGAACAGCCCCCAGTGTCAGGTTAGTTGGCCACGCCCATTTTGGCCTTTCACCCCCACCCCCACCCCCAACTTTGGCTGCCTAGCCATTTTACCGTTCCCTTCTACTCCACCCCAAGCACTTTCCCCACCCTTAGGCAGCGCCGCAGTGCTTTTGAGGGTGACATATCCGAAATGTCTAATGGCTCGCCCCCTGCATAGCTTTGAGGGCTCCAGGAATCAAAGGGGTTGGGCTCGGCGGGGTGCCGGGTACAGGCTCCACAGAGGGTTTGGAGGGAAGGTTGAGAAGGAAAAGGGGAGATATCTACAGTGCCCAGAGATTCTCACCGAGGCAGGTCTGGGATCCGGGGAGGAAAGGAGAAAGGCAGGAATGAAGGGGGTGGGGGGACAGACTGGGGAGCAGTTAGATTTACGGCAATTAATTACAGCAAAAAGACTCTTTCGGGGTTTTGTTTAGGATCTGGTGGCCAGTATTTAATCTTCAGCCACTGAACTATGCGCTCATTTGCAGGTACTTACGGTAGTTGAAGGCCCGCTCCGATGTTGGAGATTCTCCAGTGAGCTCCTCCAGATGCAGCAAACTGCCCGGCATGAGGAGAGCTGTCTAAGGACAGCCTCTCCGGCTCTGAGCCCCGCCTTCCTCTCTCCCCCGCCTGCCTGCCGGCCCGCCCTAACCTCCTCCCCTCCCGGCGCCAGGCTCTGGGAGCCCACCTACAACAACTCTGCCTGGCACCTGCAGTCCTCTGACGACGGGGATTTCTACGCCCCTCCCAGCTCCCCGCCTCTCTCTGGACTCCCTGCAGAGGTTGCAGGAGCCAAATTCAGGCTCCTACCCCCTCGCCTGTAGCTCAGAGTTTCATTGGGTTACAGTATTCTGGCGGGGAGAAGGCCAGCTCTCCAGAAGATTTGTAGATCCCTCTCTCTAGCTCCCTAATACCTTTATCAGGATCTCAGATCTTCCCCTGCCCATTTAACGCCCCATTTATGCATAAACATCACCACCACAGTTTAAGTGCCTACTATGTGCCCCTGGGCCCTGGGAACCGTTATTTCTAATCCTCATAGTAACTCTACAACATAAGTGTTACTCCTCTCAATTTAACAGGTAAGGAAACTAAAGTTCAGAGAGGGTTAAGTAACTTGAACAGCCTTCAAAGTCCAGCTTGAGGTAAAAGCCCAGGCTTGTAAAGACATACATGTTTAGATTTTAGTGCAGATTTTACGTTCAATAGCTGTGTGAACTCAAGCAACTGAGTAAACTCTCTGAGTCCCAGTTTCCCCATCTGTAAAGTAAAAAACAAACAAACAAACAAAAAACCCCAGCAGAACCTATTTCTCAATGGGATGATGTAAGTAAAACTCACAGCACGATAGGCCTAGCACATAGTAGGTGCTCAATAAATGGTAGTGGTTGCTGCTGCTACCACCACTACTGCTACTACTAATCTGTAAGTCCTTCCTTAACTGTCTTAGAGTAACATGATTTTGATAATATAGAGCAATCTTTCACAAATCTTGACCATGAAAGAGTTTTTATAATGATAATGTATGAATAAGACATGAATCAAAGCTCCTGACATGTAACATATGATGAGATTGAAGTATAGCATCCAATGGAACAGAAATATCAACATCATACACTCATTGGCTACCAAATAGCCACATTTTTCTTTATGTACATTTCTTGTTTTTGAGATGGAGTCTCACTCTGTCGCCCAAGCTGGAGTGCAGTGGCGTGATCTCGGCTTGCTGCAAACTCCACCACCCAGGTTCAAGTGATTCTCCTGCTTCAGCCTCCCAAGTAGCTGGGATTACAGGTGTGCGCCACCACAACAGGCTAATATTTGTATTTTTAGTAGAGACGGGGTCTCACTGTGTTAGCCAAGCTAGCCTGGAACTCCTGACCTCAAATGATCTGACTGCCTTGGCCTCCCAAAGTGCTAGGATGACAGGTGTGAGCCACCGTGCCCAGCCCTTTATATACATTTTTTACATGCATAAAAGATTACAAATCATCTAATGAAAAACACTTTATTCAAGAATAAACCATGAAAAAATAAAGTAACAGCTCTCTTATGGGGCAAATTGATTACCATATCTTCATGCATCAGGTGATATCAATTGTGGCTTCCGATATAAACTTCAGATTATTGTTTAATGAATAGAATAGCCATATGAATACAAAGATGTGTTTCTGGGCAAGTTATTTAGCTTCTTCAAGCTAAATAGGAGATAATAATTGCCCTTACTACAATGAAGGGTTTGGGGTAGGATTGAATGGAAATCTTCCTATAAGTCACTACATAGCACCTAGGACTCAGCAAGAAGCCATTGATTCAACACATATGTTAAGTACTTTCTTTGTGGCAGGGATTGTATTGGATGCTGACAATTCAGAAAGGATGTCAGTTTCTCCTCTTAAGGAGTTTGTAGTCTAACGATAAGTCCTACAAGAGAACAAGTAGAGAAGGAGGAACCTTGAGAATTAAAGAGGATTGCAATAGGAAAGATCAGCAAGTAAGTCATGACAGTATTAGTTTGGATAATTGCAAGCACTTGGCTGTTACTTCGTGCCTAAACTAGGGCAGTGGTAGCAGAGAAGGAAGGGAGGGCAAGAGTTCTTGAAACATTGAGAAGGCAACATTAGACGAACCTGATGGTGGTTTGGAAGACAATAGTTAAAAGTTATTTTCTGTTGGGGTGAAAATATCCATGCCAATTTTTAAACATTTACATTATAGAAGAATGTGGGGCAGGGAGAAGGCCCAACCAGACAGATTAGGTTCCAAAAGCAAGACCTGATGAGGAGGGGGTTAGGCTTTAGAGGTGGGGAGTTTAAACCTGTAAAGGAAAGCTGGGGCCAATTCACAGAGCTTGGATTTCAGCTTAATTTTTGTCAAGCACTTTAATTATTAAGGGCACAGTTTGGGGAACTAAGCCATTTCCAGAAGATGTAACTGAGGGTATTTCCAGGAGTTTGCAGGAAGCTTCCTAGAATAAATCAAATGCAAGTGATAAATCAGAGCTAAAACTTATTTAATCAAAATATTCATAGTGGGTTATAAGGCATTAGAAAGAGGTCTGCATTATCTGGCTTCTGGGTGCTTGTCACAAAGCAAACCAACAATGTCAATACTTAGGTGAATTTAACTTAGGTTTAATGGGTGGAGGGAGAAAATGAGGATGTTGTGTGTGTGTGTTTCAATTTTAGCAGAATCACAAAGTTCTGTTTGGTTCATGTACCATCTACCAAAAAAGGTAAGCTACTGATCCACTGCCCCTAATGACAATTCTCTTAGCATCACGATATGCCTTATGTTTATACGAGGAACAGTGTGTATCTGGGTACATTGTGGGGAGGATATCTGTCTTTGCTGTCAGAGCTCCTAGAGTGGGCTGCAAAGTGTTTCAGTATTCCCTTTTCCTGTGTTGGATGAAGTTGGTGGCTCCAGAAGGAAAGGAGGTAGGCTCAGCCTCACTGCCTAGAGCAGGCACAGGTTCTATGAGCAGCTTAGGTCTGACCCAGGAAGGATGCTTCCAGATGCCAGTGCCAGGAAAGCCTTTTTCTGTCTCAGAGTCTGATTTGCCACCAGTGTATCCAAATTGTAGGCATTTGCATGGTGGGGCAGGGGTGTGGGTGGGCCGGGGTTGGGGGAGGGTGCCACTTCAGAGTGCAGAACTGGACTCTCTCTTTCTAACATTTATTTACTTGTAATCACTTGTCCAAAGGAAAGTATAGAAGTCAATAATTTGGTTCTTTTATTCTTATGTATTATATGATTTAACAGTTATATAATTAAAATTAAGTAAAGATGGCTAAACTGCAAGAGAACACAAATTAGCAATTTAAAAACTCATCATTGCACTATTACCCACTGTTTATAAACTGTTTTAAAAAACATCAGTTTACAGGCAATTATTTAAATATACATGCGTCTCTTTGCGTTCTACTTGTTTTGTGATCTAGGATACAGTCAAACTTTCGGAAAGATTCATGTACCTTTAACAGAAGATGAGGAAATACTCTCTTGATAAAAGTCTGTTAATTTTATATAATTGATTGGTTTCAGGTGGACAATACACATTTTTTTCTTATTTAGTCTCTCATAGTTCAATGTCTCCCTATCCGACTCACCCTTAATTATTATCTTGCTGTATTCATTTCCTCCTTCCCATTTATCCCTCCTTCATTCTTTTCCATTTTCCTTTTCGTACTTTTCTTATCCTCTCTTTCCATGCATTCTGTGTGTGTGTGTGTGTATCAATATACATACATAATAACAACAACTTTGTGCAACTTTAAATTTTTACTTCCTTTTCCACTACTCACCCTGGCAAAAACACGATTAATCATAAAAATAAGATCTACACTCTATTAAGAAATGTGGCTTTGAAAGCGAGTTTAGTCACTTATCTCCAGGAGTATCTTCTCCCTGGGCTGCAGCTGTTTTCAACAAAACCAATAGTTTGGGAGTTTTACTGACAAATGCCTTGAAGTCATCTTGACTGCCAAAGATTTTTCTCTCATCTTGAAATAAGAAAGACGGCTTAGCTGAATGGTTCACGTGGGGCTTCAAGCCCAGGAACTTCAGGAAGTAGTAAGTAGATTTTGCTCCAAATTGGTCTCTCATCCACTTGTTACTAAGGTATACTCAGGTGTCAGTCCTATCTATATCTTGTTGAAAAATCACATCTTTTTTGAGCAGCTTGTGGGCCAATTTCTTTATCTTTCAAGTTTAAGAATTGTACAATAATATGCTTTGGAATTTTAGTATGAGAGATAACTTTGAGTGGGAACTTATAAATTTTCTCTGTATGTAAGTCAAGATCTATGTTTAGCTCTAGGAAATTTTTATCAACAATTTCCTTAATAATGGTTTCAAGGCTAATCTCATTATTTTCTGCACCTTCAAGGATGCCAGATACATAAATATCGTACCATCTTGATGTGTTTTCAAAATCTATCACGTTTTCTTCCACCATGAAGAGCTATTTTCTTAGACGTCTTAAGACTGAAGCTCAATTTTGTCCTCATTTGTACTGATTCTCTCTTCCATGACATTCATTCAGCAATATTTGTTTCTTAGGGTTTCTTTCCATTCTTTGACCTTACCAGTAGTGCCGCACAGTCTTTGCTTGGCTTTTCCTGTGTGCATTTTAAAATGTCCACATGGGCCTGCATCAACGCCCTCACCCCGGCCCTTTCTCTGGGGTCTACCTGCTGCTCCTCCAGGCCAGTCACATCTCTTGAACTTTCTGGGCTTCCTGGTTCCTACTCAGCATCATAGTACTTAATTGGTTGACACCTAGCTTGTTCTCATCATTTTTCTCATTCTAGATCAGGTAGTTTTTGTTTTCTTTTTGGGCTACTCTCATAGCTGAGGCTTCCATTGACTTTGTTGGTGTTCCCAAAGCCCAACAATTTGGTTCAGAACACAACTGCTCCTTCTGTCTTCTCCCCTAGAAGTTCAGGAGCTGGGGTCTTTTTATTGAAATGCAATACCTATTTTAAGCTGAAATCCTCAGAAATGCTATAGGAAATTAAGACATAATCAACTGATGTTCTCATTTAACAGCATTAGAAGAGCTTCATAACCTTACAGGTAAGATAAAGAAGTACGTAAGTGCATAAATAAAAATAAACACACATATATAAATACCTAAGTGCACTAGCTACCTGAATACATAAATATACAAAGACACAAAAGTAACATAAATAAACAAACGCA